TCCGTTGTCTTCTGCCTGCTCCTGCTCCCGGCAACGAGCTACCCCGGCGGCGGCTGCGAGGGCTGACGACGGCCCAGGGGCTCCCGCGGCGGCCGCCGCACTGCTGCGCTCGATCGTCCGGGCTGCGGCGGCGGCTGCTGCTGCTGCTGCTGCTGCTGCTGCTGCGGGGCCCGGCACCGCCTCTGCCTTCGCCTTCACCCGGCTCCCGGAGGTGCAGTCTCTCCCAGGCCGCGCCGCTCCCCGTTCCCGGCCCGAGCCCGGCTTTGACGTGCGCACTGCGCAGACGCCGAGGGAGGGACGTCGGGCGGCGCCGCAACGCCCCCTTCGGCCTCGGGCTCCCCCTGGCGGCCGGGAGGACTCGGCGCCGGCGTCCCCCGCCGAGGCCCAAGACAGAGGGGAAGCAGGAAAAGCAGAAGCTGAGAAGAGAGTTCCTCTTCTTTCATCCGCCACTTAAATATTGGTGCTCAGCCCCTTCTCTTCTGTCAAGCACGCTTCCTGAAGTAATCTCACGCTCACTTTCCAGGACCACTTCCTCAGCTCTTAACAAAGATTTGTGCCTGCTAAGATTAAAAGCCGACTTCATGTAGATTGAGTCTGTCATCCTTGGGAGGAGCAGATCACTCCCATTTTAGCATCTTCAGAGAGAGCGCCGTGGAGTGACAGGGATGGCATGATCCAGGCCGACAGGATTCAAGAGCCTGGGTGTAAACCCCAGCTCCACCATTTCGTCCCCACGGGCTCTTTCCTGTCCTGATGCCTGGGTTCCTATGCGCACACACACGAATACAGGACCGTAGGCCAATGAGGATGACGGAGGAAACGCATCGCAAAGCCCAGACTGCAGAATCTGGAACATAAAAATGCCTACACGTATATTTTTGTTTCTTTCTGTTGCTTTGTCTTTTTATTTGTAATTGCACAGGTATTTTTGAGCGTCTACAGGGCGTGGTCACTGTTCTGGGTGGTGGGGCTGGAAACAAAACCGTCCCTGCTCCTGAGACAAACGATAAACCAATAAACCAGCGCATATGTGACACTGGATGGTTTTCAGTGCTATGGAGAAAAACCTCACAGGCCAAGGAAGGGAGAGAGGGCAGAGTACTGTTATTTATAGCTCTCCCGTGCAGGTAGCAGCTGCATGAAGAAAGAGCATGTTGTGACCTGTGTGCATGGAAAGGCAGAGGGAACAGCAGGGACCAAGGCCCTGAGGTGGGATGGCCTTGGACCCCAGCAAGGCCAGATCCCTGAGGGAGGGAACAGGGCAGAGGTGAGCAGAGAACAGGAACCCTAGAGGCTGAAACGAGGCTTTTGGTTTTTACTCTGAATGAGGTGGGAAGCTATTTGGAGGGTTTCAAGCAGAGAAAGGATGTGGTCTGACATTTTAAAAGGATCACTCAGGTTGTGCTGTGAAGACCAGACTGAAGGACAGAAGGCTTTCAGCTGGGAGACCAGTTAGAAAACTTTTGAAATAATCCGGTCAACAGGAGACAGCCTCGGTCCAGGATGGTAGCAGGGGGGAGTAAAGTGGTTGGGTTCTAGACACATTCAAAAGGTAGAGCTGAGCCCTGGCCGGGTAGTTCAGTTGCTTAGAGCACTGTCCCCATACGCCAAGGTTGCAGGTTCGTGCTCTGGTCAGGGCACATAAATGAGTCAACCAATGAAAAATGTGGAACAACAAACTGATGTCTTCTTTCTCTCTATCCCTCCCTCCCTCCCTCTTGTCCTCCCTCCCTCCTCTCTTTCTCTCCTTCCTTTCTCTGTCTAAAATCAATTTTTTAAAGACTTTATTTATTTATTTTTAGAGAGGGAAGGGAGGGAGAAAAAGAGAGAGAAACATCAATGTGCGGTTGCTGGGGGCCGTGGCCTGCAACCCAGGCATGTGCCCTGACTGGGAATCGAACCTGCGACACTTTGGTTCGCAGCCCGTGCTCAATCCACTGAGCTACGCCAGCCAGGGCTTTCTAAAATCAATTTTGAAAAATTAAAAGAAAAGGTAGAGCTGGAAGGACTTTGATGATTTCCAAGGTTTTTTTCCCTCAAGCAGCTAGAAAATACAATTTGGTAAAGTGGAGACAACTTAAACAGAAGCAGACGTGAAGAGAGGAACTCGGGAATGCGCGTGGGGGCAGATTAACTTTGAACCGCCTGTGTTAGACACCCAAGCAGGAAGACGAACACGGAAGTCTGGAGTTTGGAGGACAGGTCTCGCGGCAGGGAGAAGTCTGGGAGTAAGCCCTCGGAGTAAAATCTCGAGACTCAGTGACATCATTTGGGGAATGAGGGCTAACACAGGGCAAAGCCAAGGATGAGCGGGAAGCCTCCAGCACTTGGGAGGTCACAGGGAGATGACAAGGATCCAGCAAAAGATTTCTGTGGACGGGAGCCAGGGCGGCAGGAGAAGACCCAGGAGAGCTTCTGTGCTGGAAGACCAAGGGCTGGAGGATGGATCAATGCCACCGATATTGGCTCATAGTTCAAGCAAGGTTGATGTTGGTGACTGGTCACCAGTGTCAGCACCATAGAAGTAACTAGTGGCCTTGGTAGGAGCTATTTCAGCGGAGGCGAATGGAAAAGCCTCCGTGGAGCGGTCTCCAGAGAGAAGGAGACCTAGAAGGAGCTCTAGAAAGCCTGGGGCTCTGGAAAGGGAGAATGTGAGTGCAGAGAACTGGTTCATAAAGTGTTATTCTAAAGAGGAGCAGAGAGGGGAGCTGGGAGCTGCAGGGGAACGGGGGATCAGACAGATTTTTTTAAAATTTCTTTTTTGTTTTGCTTTTGTTTTTAGGATGGGAGCTATTACAGACAGCTTCAGTGCTGATGGGGATGATTCAGTGGTGAGGGGAAAGTCGATGGGAGGTGTGGGGGGCATTTTCTAGAGAGCTGTCCTTGAGTGAGTGAGAAGCGGGCGCGCAGTGGAAGAGCCTGGCCTTGACACCAGCGCAGTGACCTTCACTCACAGGGACAGAGGGCAGGGAGCTGGTGCACGAGGTGCCAGAATCCATGGCTGTTCCTTTCTAAGGGCCTCTGTTTTGTCAGGAAAACTGGAAGCAAGGTCATTAACAACAAGTGGGGAGGGAAGAGGAGGAGTAGAACAGGACCAGTCAGCAAGGTTATTTGGCGTTTTTCACCGGCCACATGTTGCTGGGCAGGTGGGAAGTTGGACTGAACCAGGGTTACTCTTGTTAGGGAGCTCCGTGGAGAAAGAGCAAAGGAAGGACAGGGTGTATACAAGGAACTAATCATGATAATGGCCGACTGTTGAATCCCAGCCAGGTAGGAGGCAGCAAGGAAATGGGGGTGGAGAGGGGCAGTGGGCGGAGAGACACCCGGGAGGAGTTGGAGGACCGGTGGAACGGTGGGTGAAGGGACTGTTGGGACCAGCACGGTAGTGGGGGGGGGGGGGAGCGGTGAGCTAGAAGGAAGGAGGAGCTGGCTGGAGAGCCAGGCTGCTCACCCTGAGATTAGGGAAGGGGTAATTTTCAGTAAAAAACGGAAACTACTAGGCCTAGGGCGGCCTCTCAAACTCTAATGTCCATTCGATTACCGGGGGATCTTGTTGAAATGCAGGTAAGTGACCCCATTGGCCTGGGAAGAGGGTGGGAGGGTGGCAATTATTCTTAATCTTGTTATAATCTTGATACCAAAACCTCAACAAATGCAACACCCCCCCCCCCCACCAAAAAAATACTAGACTAATCTTGCTAGTGCATATATAGGAGAAACCTAAATAAAACCAAATTTGGAATGTAAGTGAAACAGCAACATGTTAAAGGTAAAGTTCGTCCCAACCATTCATATCAAGCCTAGCAGGGGCTCTTGGGAAGGCCAGAGAGAGGTCAGCTGATGATGAGTCCTGAGCAGGCCGGTGCCCAAGCTGCTCTGAGCTTCCCTCTGGCAACTGTGGAAGAGGGCGCTAGGCCCTCCTGGGTGAGCAGAATGCCAGTTTCATCTAATTTTGAAACGTTGTTCAATGAGGACTTCCCCCCACAGCTTTCTTTCTCTGCCCCCCCCCAACCACCCTTTTTTAAGATGAGAGTTCTTTTTATTTTTGTCCCATAGGGAGGCCTTTCTTTGATTGTGCTGACATCCCACAAAAACAAGGAAAGACCCAATTTCCCACAAAATAAAAGACCACCCAGGGGTGGATAATCCCATATGCAAGTTTTTGATGCCTTTGCTGTAAGGGTCAGAGCAGGATTCCAGCAAGAGGGAACAGAAATTTCTGGAGCAGGAACAAATTCTGAAGCTAGAGCAGAAAGAGCCCTGTTATTTGACCACTTGAATTTATACCGTCTCCATCCTTCCATGGGGCTCTCTGGGAAGCCCATTCTGTTAATAGAATAGGTAGGCACAACCTCTTCCTGAGAAATTCCTCCACCTTTTCATCTTGAAACCCCCTTCACAGAGGCCCTTCCCTCTCCGGGGCTGAGTCTGTAGATCTCAGGGTCAGAAGGCACAGCCACGGTTCCCCAAAGTCACTGCTGGTCTCGGGTCAATCTCCCATCACTGTCATTTCCGTTCCTCTCCTCCCCTGCAGCTGGGTCCTGGGATGAAGGCACCTCCCCACCTTGATCGCAGCAGCTGTGAGAGGCCTTTGGAGCCTGACTCACAGCTTCCCTTCCCACCCCACCCTGAGCCTGACTTCTCCTGGGCGACCAAAAGGCCGTTCCTCTGAGCTGCCGGGTCTTCGTTCCCTCCCAGTCTCAGTGACCTTCCCTTCCACTCCGTATCAACAGCCGCTCTCTCTCAGCCCCACCCTGGTCTCTCAGGCACCACCCCTCTACCTATGAAACTTGACCTTTATAACTCCCCTGCTTAATTGCTCCTCCCACCTACCCACCCCTCCCACAGCCCCAGACCCACCAAACCTGCTCTGAAGCTCATTGCAACTTTGTTTATTCAACAAATACTGAAGAGCTTGTCATTACCGAGCACTGGGCTTGGTAGTGGAACCTGGAGGCCTCCGTGGTCCCTGCTCTCAAGGAGCCTGCAGGTCAGGAGAGACCCCCAAGTCCGCAGGCAATGGCAGCAGAGCGAGACTCGAAGCAGGAGCAAGGTTTAGGCAGTTGGAGATGGGAGGAAAAGCTCAAGGAAAATCATGCAAATGACACCGAAAGCCGGAAAGCACGCTGAATTTGGGGAAGTACAAATGAGTAGTTCAATCTATAGAATGTGGACCTTGAGCTTGAGGAGGTGAATTTTTTATTGCTATTTCTCTCCCTCCCCCAGCTTTATCGAGATGTTATTAACATACGACATGTGTATGTTTAAGGTGTACAATACAATGATTAGATACAGGTTTATATTGCAAAACGATTGCCACAGTGAGGTTAGTCAACGCCTTCATCTGCTGACACAATTACAATTTTGTGTGTATGTGTGCGGCGATATCATTTAAAACCTACTCTTTTAATAATTTGCAGTATGTTCTATAGTGTTAATTGTAGTGACCAGGCTGTCCATTAGGTCCCCAGGCCCTGTTTACCCTCTGGCTGGGAGTTTGTACCCTTTGACCAGACATCTCCCCATGGCTTCCCCCTGCAGCCCCTGCCAACCACCATCCACTCTCTATTTGTAGGAGTTCAGCTCTTTCAGATTCCGCATGTAAGTGAGGACACGCAGTCTTTGCCTTTCTCCATGGAATGCATTTCGCTTAGCAGAATGCCCTGGAGGTCCACCCAAGTCACAAATAGCAGGGTTGAGGAGGGGAGTTGGCATAGCTAAGGTAGGAGAGCTCAGCAATTGTCCAGCAATGAAAGGCCATGCCGTCCACGTTAAGAAGCCTGAGTTTCAACATGAAGGCAGCGGAGGTAGCTTGGATGGAGTGGGCATTGACACTTGAAGCCGTGGAGTGACACGCTCAGATGTGTGTTCTCTAGACTTAGAAACACCCTTCTGATCCTGTGTGCGCGGCGGTGAGGAGAAGGCCTGGTCAGAGGCAGCAAGGTCGGTCCGTGAGAGGCATTGTCAGTTTTGACGGGAGATCATGGGCCGCCGAGCTAGACGGTGGCAGTGCGCAGGGGCAAGAGTGAATCGGTTAGGAAAACACGGTATTCAGAGGGAGTGTGTGGTGCCTTGACGGATGTGGACGGTAGGGGAGAAGGAGGAATAGGGGATGGGAACCCAGCTTCTGGGTAGTAGGGCCAGTTGGTGAGACGGACACCATCTGGGAGCGAGCAGGAGATGAGAGGACAATTGGGACAGGCACACGTCAAGAGAAAGAGTAGTGTAGCGCTGCAGGAGGATCAAGAACTACGAGGCTGGAATTCATCAATGGGATGTGGCAACAGGAGGATGTGGGGGACCTAAGAGAGGGCTGCACCAGTGCAGTGCTGGGCGAAGAAGCACTGGGACTGGCGTGGGTGTGGGATGTGAATGAGAGACATGGAAATGGAACGAATAAACAGGAAAGAGAAGGGATCCCAGCCTCTGGGAGGTCCCTAGGGAGCGGGGTGGCTTCATGAGAACACAGGAGAAGGAAGAGGGCTCCTCCTTTGTCACAGCAAAGAAGGAAGAGGACAGATGTCCAGGGAGCTGGTTGGCTGGGGGAAGTGGTGGTGGGGCGCGGGGAGGGAGTTCCTGGGAGTTGAGGTATGCAGGACGCATTTTGTTAGGAAAAGAGACAGCTGTGTTGCCCTAAGGCGACGTGGCTGCTTGTCACAGCATGAGAAAGGAGCAGGTGTGGGACCCAAGCAGAAGGGATACACAGAGTTGGGGGTTCCAGGCACACTCGCCCTCACAGGAGCACACCCGTGCCTCTCTTCCCTCGTGGGTGTGCATTTCCTAAACTCCAAGAGTCCCCACGAGGCTTGCAGCCGGGGGAGCAATGGGCATCGGCAGCTCGTCCCAGGCTCACCCCCCAAACCTGTCTCCAAGGCCCCCTCTTCTCTGACTTTTCAGTGAGCCAACAGCAGCCCGGCCTTGGCTCTCTCCTGTTGCTTGTTCTGTCCTAAGTCCTCCCTTGTTTCACTGTGCCCAGCTGTAACACTCATACTCTCAAGGTAAAAATGGTAAGTTCTAGAAGAGGGAGTTTTATTTGTCCTGGTCAAAGCTGGCTAAGGTTTGATGGATTTATTTATATGATTTTTTGGTAAAAAAGCTTTAGTATCAAATACACTGATGCGAAACTAGAATTTGTTTTTCTCTCTGTGAAAATGAGAAAAGTATTGGCCTGCCCTTCATAAAAGCTTGTGGTAGATAGTAGTCCCCTAAAGATGGCCAAGGCCCAGTCCCGGGAACCTGCGAATTTGCTACTTTATTTGATCAAGGGAGCTTGACAGATGTGATTCCGTTAGGACCTGAGATGGGGGAGACTATCCTGCACCGTCTGCTGGGTCCCAGGTAGTCAGTCACAAGGGGCCCTAGAGGAGGGAGGGGGCAGGTGGCTCAGGATGAAACAGAGAGAGTGGAACGTGTTCCCTGTTGGCTTTCAAGGGACCCCGAGCCGGGAGCGAACAGAGTCTGGGGGAGCTGGAAAAGGGAGGATGGGGGATCTCCCCCAAAGCCTCCAGAAGGGATCTTCTTTGCTGACACCTTGCCTTGGACCTAGCAAGACTAATCTTGGATTTTTGATCTCTGACCTTAGAGGATGATGAATTTGTTTGAAGCTCTTAAACGTGTGGTGGTTTGTGAGAGCAGGAGCAGGCAATGCACACGAGGGTGCCACAGCTTCTTCTTCACCTTCTGTGCAGCCTGGGCAACAAAGATTCTTCTCTGGTGTGTGCTGACTGGGCTGTGACCTTGGCCGTCTAAGAGAACCAGGTTTTCTCACTTAAGAAAGAGCCAAGAGTCTTTACAATCATGTGACTGCCTTTGTTCATTTTATTTTATTTTTTTAGATTTTATTTATTTATGTTTAGAGAGGGAAGGGAGGGAGAAAGACAGAAAGAGAGAAACACCAATGTGCAGTTGCTGGGGGCCATGGCCTGCAACCCAGGCATGTGCCCTGACTGGGAATCGAACCTGCGATGCTTTGGTTCGCAGCCTGTGCTCAGTCCACTGAGCTACACCAGCCAGGGCTGGCATAGACAACTTTTTAAACTTGAATCTAGCGTGGACTAGGGTGGCTGGTTTCAGTTGGAAACTCACATCATTTAGCTATTTAGTTATATTAATATGCAAATATTTGGGACCAATTCCAGATTTATATAGTCTTTTTACTGAATATTTTTAGTGTATTCTAACTCTGTGTTTGCTAAACTCATGGAATATGATGTCAGGATTGTTATACCTGAAGCTTTTTTCTCTGTGAAGATGGTGTTCCTCCGTTTTTATCAATTAGATTCAACGCACTCTGACTCATCCTGTTCATAGATATTCGCCTAAAATGTTTTCTGAAGCGACTTTATTACTTTGGTTTGTGCGCCACATAAACAAGTCCATTTCCTTGTCAGCTGTACCTTTATTGATACGCGTCCTCAGCAGGTCTTTCTCTCCGGAGACTTGTCAGTGACAGGTAACCCACAGGTGTTCTGCGTTGGTGTCTACAGGCAGTTTTTTGTGTTACTCTGATGATGGCCTGGGTACCAGCAATCAGCTACAGACTAGGGCGCTCGTCCTTGACAAAGAAAGGCTGTCTCGGAGCTGGGGGGAAAGGGGGCGGGTGTGGTGCTTGGGGCTCAGGCTCCTGATGGCCTCCTCTAAACAAGGTTGAGACCGCACCGGTAGACTGAGTCAGGAACAGAGGAGGGGTGACGGTGAGTTTTGTTTGGAATATTGTTAATGTTGGTTGAATGTTCTGTTTTCTGGACATAGAAGGCACCACATTCTCTTTTCTCTTAAGCCATCTATAATTCGTAACAATTTGATAGACCAGAAACAAACTTCGCTAACCAGAAACAAACCATTTGTGAATATTTCATTCTCCCTCCTTGATCCCTCCGAAATTCAGAAACCCTTATGAGTGTTCTTGATTTCCTGACAATACAATTACTTGCATAGGTTCAGTAAGAATCTGTCTTCCTTGCTAATAGGATGTCATTGGAAACGTTGGTTACAAACCCAAGGCTCCGCCTGACACACTGCATTTGGGGATGATGCTCATTTCATCAGAAATGACCTGGTCCTTTTGGGGGACTAAGGCTGACCGTCTGGAGCCATTGGGAAACAGGTACCAGCCCCATTGGGAGAACTGGCCCGGTACCTGGCTTACAAAGTTCTCAGCCTTACAGGTGAGTCTAAGGTCCCTTCCTGCCAGGTCTATTAGCCTTGGGGCATTTGGGAGACCTTGAGGGAGGAGGAATTTGCTAAAATTTATAATTACTGTGGGTGAATTTGATAGCTTGGCTTCCTAGTCTCAAGATGCTTTCAAAAGTCTAAGCTGAGATTCCTTAATAAAGCTTCCAGCAAAACAAAGTTAAGGCCCGTGTGGTTAATAGTTAGTCTTGCTACATCTACTCAAACAGGCCAAATTTAATGAGACCAGCCTTGATTTTTGATCCAGAAAAACCTTTCTCTGAGATTATCTTTGTAAATGGAGGGCAACTAAAAAGAGAAATTGTGTGTTTCAATATGCAGCACACACTTCTAGGTTATCAGACTCTTGCCCTGCTCATCACCTTTGAGTTTTCTTGCACCTCGTTGTAAACTGCAGGTAGCTGATGGCTGTGCAAACTGTCTGGTCTGATGAGGTTTCATGGGCTACCTTCTGCCACCCTGGTGGGAAGACCCGTTTCATTACCTGCCTTTACACCGGACTGGATCTGTTGCCTCGTCCAATGGTCGAGCCTTACCAAATTCTCAAGTCTTCCAGTCCAACTACAATCCTTCAAGGTGATGTTTCATATTTTTCTGCCACTCCCCTGACTCAGCATCACCAAGAACTACAACTTGAGTGCTCAGATCCCTTTCAGGCTTGAGGTTGCTTTGCAGGTGGCCTTTCCCTCAGAATCCGAAGAAGCCCTGTGAGCTGAAGCCTGGTGACTCGGCATTGACCTTGAAGGAATGAGCCCTGCAGCAGACCAGGCACAGGGTTGGAATTCTCCCTGGGGAAGCTGCTGCTGGACCACTAAGGAAGTCCAACAAGATGGGTCACACACGCCCTTGGATGAGAGGTAGCCAAGACTATGCATGGCATCACCAAGAACAGAGACATCTTAGTTTCAAGGAACTCAAGGAGGTTCTACAAGTATAAATTATATTGAGCTTCAAAGACTTAGTACCACAACAAACAAACTAATAATCATAAAGCAAGGAACCCATGAAGTGGGGCAACGCAGTTTTCCACTGCTGACCTCTGGTGTCCGCTGGACTGGTTCATTCAAGGTTCCACTCCTGGCTCTTTACTTTAATACAACTTTTGTACTATTACTTCCCTATGTTAGGCATCCTTCCTTTAAGGGCCCTCTCTGGGACCCCAAAACAACCGAGCTTTGCCACCTCCTGTCAACAGGTGGGTCACCAGTTTTACAGGAGCAACACCGGCAAGAACCCTGGAGAGACCGTCTCTTGGGCCCTGCGTCACCCTGCTGGGCGATTTCTGCTCACCTCTGAGCTGTTCAGCGACAAACAACGGGAGGGGGGGGATGATGAGGTTGAACTTGATGGGAGCCCTGGGCAACCTCAGCGTGATGGTTAAGCCTCCCCACCCTTCTGTGCTCAGAAATGACAAACCAGCTAACCACAGAGGAACACGCTCTCCTCAGAGGTTCTGCAAGAAACCTCCTCTCCATCCTTCCTTGTACTACCTGTAAGACTCTAAGACGACTCCCTCATCTATCTGCTTCTATAAAACCACAGTCTTCCTTCTTTTTCTTTGAGATGTTCCTCCTTCATGAATGCTCTCCTTATTGTAACAGCCTGCATAAAACCATCTCCTTCATTATCTGGAGAAAATTGCCTGTCCCAGCTCCAGAGACGACTTCCCTTGGATGGCAGCCAGCAAGTCACCCCGACGGTCCTGTGGGTTCGCGTGAATATGCAGCAGAGTTAGATCCTGCTTTCCCTTCCCGGCAGGTGTCTCCCGTCTTGGTGGCCCCAGTCCTGATTCTGGGATGTCCTGTGTTAGCTGGAGCTCCCAGTTTTCCTTCGTTACAAAGACAGCAGCCCCAGTGGGTGTGGTCCACAAGTTGCTGGCTCCCTAGAGTAAGTCTCCTCTAGACGGTCCTGGATGGAAGACCCGAGCTTGCACAGATGAAGATGCCCATCACGCTGTGCTTCTGGCATGATCCGGTGGAGGACACCTATCTCCAGAGTGTTTGTTGGGGGGAATAGGTAAGGCTCTATGTCCAAGTATCCATGTAAGCCTGAGACCAAGGGTTTGCAGTGAGGTGGGGCCGGGAGCAGTGGGGCTTCCAGCAGGGGTTACAGAGAGCAGGGGTCACAGGGGAGGAGCTTGTGGGTATGCTCCTGGCAGCAGTGGGGCCCCCCAATAGCAGGGATTCCTCTGTGCTGCCTCCCTTCTGTCCGAATGGGTGTGGGCCAGAGTTCAGAAGGCTCTTTGACACCCTATAATCTGCCACAAAACAGATCATAGTTACCTGCCATTCTACAGGTAGTTAGATCCTCTCTGCCATTAGGTGGGAGGGCTGGGTCTTGGTTCCGGGTGAATGATGTCACTCTGAGGTGCCCGGAGGGGATAGCTTCAAGGGAGCATAGGTCAAGCTGAGGAAGGCGCTGTGGTTCTCTTGGGTGGTCAGGCCCTCGGCTGGTGGGAGACCGTGCGTGTGTGTTGCGTACAGGTGAGTGGGCGTGTGTGAGCATGGATGTGTATACATGTGAAGGAGGCACAGCGGGAGTCAGCCTGCAACGCTTGTTTAGAAAGCCCCGGTCCACCCCAGACAGCGCACGCCTGCTGGACTGGTCGGGGGGCAAGCGGACACAGAGCTCTATCGCTCTGGCATCTTCCTGCCAGCTCATTCCTCGCCCCCAGACTGGGTCGGGCCTGCCAGGCGGGACAGGCTTCAGCGCAGGCTCACCTGGTCTCTTCCTGAAGGGCAACCCGTGACCGCTGAGGGCAGGGTAAGCGCTTGCTTGCCTTCTGGAAGAAGAAGGACTCAGGGGTCAGGCCCATCCAGGGAACGAGATGAGGCAGCAGGACCACATTCAAGCAGTGGCTTTGGCCGGAGTCCAGGCTTCCCGACACCTGCTACAGCGGAGGAGAGCCCTGGGGAGCTGCCCCCGCTGCTTCCAGAAAGGACTGTTCAGACTTAGATGGCACAGAAGATGGGCTCTTGCGAGTCCAGGGGTGGTCCGGGTGACAGTGCGCCGTGGTGCATGCCCAGACTGGTGCAGCTAGGATGCAGGTGATGGACTTGGCACCTGGCCACCGCTTGCCAGCGGGCAGGGCCCCCAAGCAGGAGCTGCAGTGTGTCCGGCTATCTTAGGACCGACGGAGAAGATGTTGTTTGTGTTGCCAGAGCGTCTGAGGTTTTCCAAGTGTGCTGGAGATGACCCAGGTCAAATCCATCCACTGGAACTTGACCCCTCTCAGGCTGAGGACCCGCGCGCACAGTCACACTCTCAGAGCAGATTCTGCAGACCCCCGTGCCTGCAGCCACACTGATTCCGCACCCACAGCACGCGCTACTAACCACCTCCAGAACCATTCAAGGAGGTTTCCAGCTGCTTCTCTAAGGCTGCATGGTAGGGAATGACTATGCTGTCAACAAAGTTTCAAATTAAAAGATACCAAAGTTACTTTTAAAATGTATAAAATACACACAAAGTAACATTTGTTGTTACAAGTGTCCATCCCAGGAGTCTGTAGATCGGAGCTGATCACAGGTGTTCAGTGGCCCCAGCGGAGTTTAGGGTCATTACCACCACCCCAGAGCACAGGCCTGGTTGTGGGAGGACCACGTTCCTCTAGAAACAAAATCCCACCCATTCACCGATAACCATCACTCGTTCCCCATTAAAATGACCAAGCAAATCAGCCCTAACACTATGGGATGTTTTTAAACTGAAATTACATCACAACCAGCCCAATTTCTGTCTCAGCATTTGAAATGCAAGTTCCATCACTGATTGCTTTCACAAAAATCATCTCCGAAGAAGTCATCTTGATTAAATCAAGGGACAAATTACGTCATGGAAAATATTTATGAACATTTTGCTATTTGCCAAGCTATCTTAACAATAAAAAAAAAAAACAAAAACCACCTCAATTCTGCAGTTTTGTGTGACCTGTCATTTTTGAATGTCAGTTTGCTATAGAACTTCATAGCTTCACTTGGCATAACCGGCTACATTTATCCCGCTGCATACAGAATTATATGCGGCACTGAGCATTTTCACATTTGCTCTCTTCTGCCACAGAGGAAACATAACAATGGGCAATTCTACCCCTGAAGCAATTCATTAATAATTCTCTTCCCTGAAAGTGATGAATGTCCTGAGTCACCATTTACCCAAGTTTCTTTGTAAGCTTATTTTTCAATGCCCTTCCGTGATTCTTATCATGGTGACCTGCGGACCATAAACATTTGATATCCTGCGGAACTCCTCCAGATCAATACAGATCAAACCCTGACTTTACTTTAAATACTGCCCCACTCTATTAAGAAATGAAATCCTTTTATAAAAAGCATTTCAAAAGCCAAACTAAAATTTCAGGCGTTAAACTCACGTATTGTACAAATAGCTAGACAGTCACACACTGAGACAATTCTAACAAAACTGATACAATTCAAAATGAAGAAATCCCTTGTGGTGGTTGAGGGGGGGCGGTGAAGGTGGATAGGGAGTGGGGAGGGAGCTGAATTTTACACCAGGGGTCGGTTTTGCCCTGGCCGGATAGCTCAGTCGGGCAGAGAGCCATCCTGATACACCAAGGTTACGGGTTCGATCCCTGATCGGGGCATGTACAAGAATCAACCAATGAATGCATGGATGGGTGGAACAACAAATGATGTGTGTGTGTCTCTCTCTCTGCCTCTAAATCAATTAAATAATAACAATAATAAAAGGAAAGAAACCAGGGGTAAATTTTGGCATTCTTCCCAAATCTACTCCCACTTACCTAAGAGCGTTCCTTCATTTCTTTAAAAACCAATGGGGAGGGGCCCTGGCTGGCGTAGCTCAGTGGATTGAGCACGGGCTGCGACCCAAAGTGTCGCAGGTTTGATTCCCAGTCAGGGCACATGCCTGGGTTGCAGGCCATGACCCCCAGCAACCGCACATTGATGTTTCTCTCTCTCTCTTTCTCCCTCCCTTCCCTCTCTAAAAATAAATAAGTAAAATCTTAAAAAAAAAAACAATGGTAAACTTTGCACCAAAGGAAGGTTTCTATTTCCAGCAAAAAAGAAAAAGTTTTATATTTTCAACTTCCAACTGCACAATGCCAACTTTACAAAAATCAAAGTTCATGGCTTCTCAACCCTCTCAGGTCCCTGGTGCTCGGGGCCCAAGGATTATTTGTTCTTCTGGATGCTCTTTGCTCCTCGCTGAGTCACTGGGCTCTCTGCCTTCCCCGGCTGGGAGCCAGCCACTCTCACAGCTCGGCTGCGACTGTACAGTTCCAGTGAGGTCATCGATTAATACGGTGCCTCCGATCTTCCTTCTCTCTCCCCCCCACCCCTCTGCACCCCTTGGTCTAGCCTTTATCCCGGTCCCACCAGCAAAGTACGCACACTATACCCAACAAGTCTTGGAAGGGCCCTTCCTGCAGTCCACGATGACAGTCACCCAGAGTCTGAGGGTAGAAACCAAACAATTCACAGAGATGGTGAAGATTGCTTTTTTATATCACGAAGTAATAAGTTTAAAATAGCAAATTTTTTGGAGACTTTACATGCTTGGGCGGGACCTGTGCTAGAGGCTTTACCTATGTTAACAGTACTCCTAAAGCAAAAGGGGAATATTATTTCTCATCAAATGTAAGACATCTGGATTGTAAGGCTCATTGTTACATATTGTAACATGAAGAAAAAAAAAGCAAATCCTATTAACTACATTGTAACTTGCCATTGATTGCAAATGGGAGATCCTCATTTCAGAGATGTTAAATGTGAAAAAAAAAAAGTGCATCTTAGAATCGGTGACGAGGAGTTACTTTTGCAGACGAGGATGCTGAAGTTCAGAGCAGCAGGGTACGTTGGCCGGACTGCAGAGCTAGCGAGAGGAAGAGCTGGGTGTCAGAAGCTTCCAGAGGCCACCACCTCTCTGGAGGTTTGAAGCTTTTTTTTTTTTTTTTTGTCCTGAGTGGCTTCTTTTTCCTTGCCTGCCTGTTCTCAGGAACCAGTCTCCGAGCCGTCTGTCCTGGAAAACGGGCCCTCCCCCACCAGCTCCTGGACAGCTAACAGAGCTCGAACAACTGCCTTTTTGAGACTGCTCCCCCTCGTCAGGGCGCCTAATTATAGAGACTGTGCATTCTGCTGCGGCTGCATTATTTTTGGCGGCGGGAGGGTGGGAGGGGGGAGGAGTGGGTGTTGGTGTGTTTGGTGATGGCTGTGCAACCTCCCCCTTCTCCCACAGCCCCTGCTTCCCTCCTTCTTGCCCCACGGCAGGCAGGCGAGGGAGGGCCACAGGGCTCGCAAGTGAGTGACTAAAAGCTGACTTAGGGAGCCCTGACCGGAGTGGCTCCATGGGCTGGGCGTCATTCCACAGGGCGCAGGGTCACCGGTCGGAGAACGCGCCTGGGCTGCCCGTTGGGTCCCCGGTCAGGGCGCATAGGAGAGGAGGTGGTTGACCGATGTTTCCTTCCCACGTCGAGGTTTCTCTCCCTCTTGTTCCCCCTCCCTTCCTCTCTCTCCAAAAACAAATACATGCAATATTTGTTTTAAATAAGCTGATGTAGGGAGCCAGGAGCTGCTGGGAAAATCTGCCGAATGAATGCCCTCTCGCGTCAGATCTTCCTGCTCTTCGCCGTCCAACGAGCCGCCCCTCTGATCGCCGCCGAGCCAGCTCCGCGCCCGAGCCTGCGGGAGCTCTGTCCCTGTGGAACCCGCGCCCTCCGTCTCCAGGGGTGAGCTTGCGGTTGCCGAGCCCACGCGCCCGCTGGCTCAGTTCCCTCGGTGTGATTCAGTGGACACCTGGTGTCCACCCGCTGCGCACGGGTGTTCCGAAGGCGACCGATACCCCCGCACAGACTCGGTGTCTCCCCTCCTGGGGTTCACAGCCCCGGGGTGGGGGGGACAGATGTCATCACAGAAGTTTGTAAATAAGCACACAGCGACAAGTGGGATAAGCAGTTCTCAGGAAGAGCTGCAGCAGAGAAAGGCCACGCATTCTGTGTGCTTCCCTGCATTTCCCACGCCCCCTTCCAGGGTCGGCTGGCGCCATGCGGTTAATGTTGGCCAAGGACCTCGCGGGGACGTGATGTGGGTCACCTCCAGGGGAAGACTGGAAGAGCTGCTGCGTCTCTCTCAACCCCTGGTGCTGCTTCGATGACCCTGGGCACCGTGCAGATGGCGGGGCTGTGGGAGGGAGGAGGGCTACCCAGCCCACTCTGAACTCCACAGTCGGGGCCGATGAACCTGCTGGGCTTGCCCACGGAGGCCTCGGGCTTGACTTGGGGGCTGTTGGTAATTCCCTTAGCTAATACGGAATCACTTCTGATGAGGGAAAACAGGGCAAGAACTGAGCAGGCGAAGGGCCGGGAAAGGCAGCCTCATCCTTAGAGTGAGGTGTAGGCCGGGGCCCAAAGGAGGGGTGGGAGTCAAGGTGGAGAACAGTGCTGGGTGGAGCCGTCTGGATGGACTGACAGCTTGTGCAAAGGCCCTGTGGTTAGAGGGTGTGTGATGGAGTGGACAATGGGCCAAGGGACAGAAGCAGCTCAGTCACCTGCCACCTGGCTGATCGGAGACAAAGCCTGATGTCCAGGCCACACGCTGCCAAGCCCTCTGGGTTGCCATGGGCTGCAGGAGGGGTCACCTAGGCTTGAAATTTGGTCAACTTTGCCCTCCCACCTCCTCGGCCCCTCCCAGCCGGCTGGTAGCCACCAGGGCAGTGTCTTGCCCATGGTCAGCTCCTCTGCGTTGCCCTGTCTACTGTGCTCATAGGACCAGAGGGCCCTGGGGAGAGATCGGGGCAGGAGTCCTGGGAAGCTCTCACCTAGCATCGCTGGGGACGGAACCAGAATGCAGGGAGAGGAGCCTGAGGGTAGCTGGGCAAGAGGCTCAGCAGCGAGGGGACCGGAGTGAGGACACCAGTGTGGGGAAGAGGCTTGGGGGTGGGGGGCACCGAGGGCCGTGGGGCCCCCTCTCATGAGATGCTGCCGGGCCACACCTGCCTCTTGTGAACAGGTGCTGTAATGCAGCAGGCTGGGCTGTCCAGCTCACGTCTCCGGGGTGCCCCAGGGGCCCCAAGGGGGTGGGGGTGGGGCTGGGCAGCCCCTGGTCCCACTCACACTGGTGCTGTGGTCCCCCCATGCTCCACCTTGTCTGACCGAGGCTGTGTCTGTCATCTCTCCGTCACAGCTCTCCCTGTCACACGCCTGCTCAAAACCCTGCTGACAGCCCCGCTTTGAGCACAGAGGAAACTCGGGTCTGGAGTCCCAGGGCCCCTGAGCTCTGGTCTCTGACCACCTTCCCATCTTGTGCCTTCCTAGCCCTGCCCTCAGCTGGACGGAGCGACTGTCCTGCCCCTCGGTGCCTGAGTCTCAGCCCCTTGGAGCAGTTCTAGATTGCTCTCCTGCACGGAGGACCCGTCGTGGCAGATCTGGTCTCTGCCTCATTGGGGTTCAGTTCCTCTTGCTTCCCTGACTCCGGCTCCAGGCAGCAGTGAGCCCGAGCTCAGGGGTTAAGTCGATCACCGCAGCCCCGTCCTTGGCTCTCTCGCAGCCAGGAGAGGCCACCAGTCCCAGTTCCCTCGAGGAGAAGGAGTGGGGCTCTGCTTCGTGGGGCTGACAGCCTGTTTTCTAGAGACACCAGGGACCTACATGTCTGGTGACACTTCCCTCCTCGCGTGGAGCTTGGTGGCTGGAGCAGGGGCGGCTATCTTTGTACCCTGAGGACATGGACGACAGTGGCCGTCCTTGCTTCAGAGGGCTGTTGAACTCTCACCAGCACCTGTCCCCTGCTGGACTTCCTGTGACGCACGCCCCTTGCTCCTGAGAGCCACCGTGGTCGCTCTCTGTTGCTTGCAGCCGAGTGTCCTTCCGACCTGACCCACCTGCCCAGGAGCCTGGCCTCGGATTTCTTGGCCGTCCTCCACTCCA